TCGCGGCGCTGGCCGCCGCGGGGCTGGACACCCGCGACGGGTTCATGGTGTCGTGCACCCTGCTCCTCCAGAGGGTGCTGGCCATGTGCACGATCCAGCGCGACTTCGACCGGGTCGTGGGCGCGACCCTCAGCACGCTCGCGGACGGGGACGCGACGGGGGCCCGGGAGTCGCGCCCGGCCGGCTCGGAGCCGTCGTTCGCGCCGGCGGAGGCCGTGCTTCGCAGGGTTGGTCTTCTCGGCGAGGAGGAAGACGGCGGCGGCGGCGGCGGCGGCGGGTCCTCTCCCGCCGACAAGGTTCTGTCCGGGCAGGCGTTGGTGCGCCTGTACCTGGTGCGGATGCTGCTGGAGATCGTTACGCTGCCGGTGGCGGCGGCGAGCAAGGGCGAGCTTAGCTCGACCGAGGGCGTCTACGTGGGAGGGGTCGGGTCGCCGTGCGCGAGGGAGGCCCAGAGGGCCGCCGAGGAAGCCGCGGCGGCGGCGGCGGCGGCGGCGGAGGCGGTGTCGGGGGCGAAGGCTCCGAAGGAGGGTGCCAGAAAGGGCGGGGGTGGGACGCGGTTGGAGCGTTGGGTGGACGGCGTGCCGCCGGTCGTGGACGTTGTCGAAGCGGACGGGAGCGGGTTGCCGAGCCCGCTGTACGCGGGCAGGCACAGGCAGTTCAAGACGGTGTGCTCGCGGGCGCTTCGGGCTGACTGGTTCATCTCGCTGCTTGAGACATGCCAGGAGGAGGTAAGAGACGGTGGCATTCTTTGTGTGTCGTTGCAATCGCTATTTCGTTGTCTATTGTGGTTGACCCGGTGTACGGTCACGTCGTATGTTACACGAAAAAAAATAGTGTTTGCACTTGACGTTTTGAGGTGTGCAGCGCACGTTGTCTCCACGCTTCCAGTAACAGTCACAACAAGAGCAACGGAGTTACGCCCGACTGCGCTCGCAGCGCCGAACCTACATCATGCATGTGTGGGCAGCGTAGAGGCTTTCGGGCAGTTTCCTTGGCGCCGACACCTCTTGTAGCGTGCCCGCGCTGTTTTTGGTGCATCAGACGGAAGAACCCCTCGCTGAACGAAGCAAAAGCAAACTCTCCTCGCAGCCAGTCAGTGTCCGCTGCTGTTCCGGAATTAACTGAGTCTTCTGCCTTGCACATACGCTTCTTGTAATTTGTTGACACGCACCGCTCGGGCAGGCGGGAGTGGCGTGGACGTTCCGCCTCCTGGCGGCGATGCTCCAGAGCTCGGAGGAGTTCGGCTCCTCGTTCCGAGAAGCCGACGGATTCCGGGCGATGGCCGTATGCCTCCCCCGCTACGCGGCCTCCTTGCCGGTCCTCCTGCCGGCCCTCGCGCTCGCCCTCGGCGTCCCCGTCGCCGCGCTGCCGGCCACGGCCGAAGGCATGGACGTGATCAGCATCCTTTCCCTCCTGCGGAGGAACGCGGGCACCGCGCACGGGCCCGGCCGCTGCGCCGGCGGCGGCATGGCTCCCCGTGGCGGCGGCGACACGGAGCCGCGGCCGTTTGTCAGGGTGTGCCTGGCGAGGGTGATCCTGCCGTGCCTGCGTGTGAACGCGGCGCTGCTCCGCCGGGCTGAGGCTGCCGGTGTGGTGCCAACAACGGCGGCGGCGGCGGAGTCGTCGCCGTCTCAGGCGCCGCCTTCCCCGAGCGGGGACGGAGCAGAGAAGACTTCGCCGGGGGTGGCGGCGACGGCGTCGGCGACGGCAGATGTGAGCGATTGGCGCAGAGCCAAGAGAGTGAACGAGCTGATGAGCGCGGCCATGTGGGAAGCTTTGATGAACGACCCGTCGTTCCGGCTCACGTGCCGGTCTCCCGGAATCGTCGCTGCCCTGGTGGACGTCCTCGGCGGGACGTGGGACGAGCCGGAGGGAGGTCTGCTCGGCGGTAGCAAGGGGACCGCCGCCACAGGCGGAGCAGGACGAGAGGAGGAGGTGGGAGTTGGCAACGGTAGCGGTAGCGGAACCACGTCCGGCGGGTCCTCTTCGACGGAAGGCTTCCCCCCTCAGGCCTCCCCGCACCCGCCCGCGAAGCTGCTGAGGATCGTGATCGCGGACATCATCGCTGTGGGGAGCGCCGTCGTCTTCCGATCGGTCTTGCGCGTGTTCTCCTCCGGCGCTGCCGTCATGGGACCGATGCTGAAGGGGCCCTCCCCCCGCGGGGAGGACGCCGCGGTCGAAGCCGCTCCCTCGTCGACGCGAATGCCGCGGGACCTGAGCCCGCTAGGCCGGGAGGCAGGTTCCGCCTCCGCGGGAATCTTCCAGCGCGCGATTCTCCGACACCTGGAGACGTGCTCACGGGAGGCCATCAACCTCGCGGCGGCGGCGGCGGCCGTCCCTGCCCCGCCGTCCTCCTCCCGAAGGAACCGGGCAGGGAAGAGCCCCCCGAACCCGAGAGTCGTTGCCTTGAATCGCGCTGTCGGGAGCGTGGCTGCCGTCTCGGCGGCGGTGGCGGAGGCCGCCGCGGAAGGGCTGCTGCCGGGGGTCGAAACGGGACACCTGGCGGTGGGGCTCGTGCTCAGCTTGCTGCGGCAGATCACGGCGGCGTTGGGGGCGGTTAACGGGGCCGCTTCGAGCGGCGGCGTCAAGGGCACCGCGCTCGGCGCGTGCCACGTTACGACGATCGTGGCGCTCCGCCGAGCCATCCAGCGGGAGAGCGGACGGGAGGGGTGGCTGGGGGGACGTGCCCGTGGTGACGGTGGCGGCAGCGCGAAGGCCGGGCGAGACTTGGTCGAGTCGTGGTCGAAGGGTGGTGTTGGTGGTGGTGGTGGTGGGGCGACCGACGACGATGACGGCGACCTGCTCGAAGAAAGCCTGCTGATGATCGCGCACAACTTTGACGCTCTTCTTGGAGAGGAGCGGAGGAGCTCGACGCCGGGACCGGGCGTGGCAGGGACCGCCTCCGTCGGCAGCCCTCCGTTCCCCCCGCCGGCGCCTATCTCGAAGTCGCCCGTGAACCCGAAGCCCCGTTCACCGCAGTCTTCAGCCTCGACGACTCCGCGCGGTGGCCTGGAGAGCGGCGGCGGTGGCCGGCGTGCCAACGTCCCGTCGCCGCTCGACCTGTTCGGCCTGGACCAGGAGGCCTCGGCGGAAGCGCCTTTGACGACCGCCGGCGTTTTCGCCGACACGCCAGCACCTCAGAAGTGGTCCTCGAGGTTCGACTTCCCCCTCGACAACACCGCGACGGGTGCGGCGACGGCGGCGGCGGTGGCGGTAGAGGAAGCGAACCGGCTCGCGATGACGTTTTCGGCCCTAGAGCTGTCGAGCATCGGCTCCTCCGACCGGAGCACCACCGGCGGCAGCGGTGGCGGCGGCGGCCGCGGGCAAGGACCAAAGAGCCTACAGCTCGCGTCGGGATCCTTGATCGGGTCGCCGGCAGGCGTCGGTGGTGGCGGCGGCAGCCCGAAGGCTAGCAACAGCCTGTGGGAGAGCGCGGCGAAGGGGGCGGCGGGTCTCGTTGCTGCGGCCGACCGCGGCAGCAAGGGAGGGAGCGGCGGCGGCGGTGGGAGCAGCGGTGGTGGCGGGGGCGGCGGCGGCGGGGGCGGCGGCGGAGGAGATGCCGGAGACGGCGGCGGCGCAGGCGTGGCCGAGTCGCTGGTGTACCGCCTGCGGGGCGCCGCCTCCGACCGAGCGTTCGTGGCCGGCTTCGTGGCGGAGCTCCGGGCCCTGCTGCTGAGCGACAGCGAGAGCGTGCGGAAGCTGTCGACCAGGCTCGCGGGTACCCTGCTGGCGCGGCGGCGCGCGACAATGCAGGAGCTCCTGGGCGAGGAGCTCCTTAGCACCGGGTTCTCCATGCTGGAACCGCCGCCGCCCGCCGCTG